CTAGGATATATTTATACTAGCACTGCATTAAAGTCTTTAGATTTACTTTTTTTAAAAAAAACTTTTTGTTGATTTACTTATTTTATGGGTATGAGTATTTTGCCCTCAGAGATTAGAAGAGGGCCTGAGATCCTCTGGAACTGGAGTTACAGAAGGTTGTGAGTCATCATATGGGTGTTGGGAACTGAATCTAGGTACTTTGCAAGAGTAGCAAGTTCCTTAACCACAGAGCCATGTCTTTAGCCCTATTTTTATTATTTTTAATCACTTGTAGGTATGTGTGCCTGCATGTTGGTATGTACACATGAGTACAGGTGCCTATGGACAGATGTTGGAAATCAAACTCAGGTTTTGTTAAGTGGGTAGGGAAGGGGCTGTGTATGTGCATGTGGGTGTTTGAAAAAGTCATATGGACATCTACTATTTTATAAGATACTTAAATATATAGACATATATATCTATAAAAAAAGAGTTTAATTCAAGTTACCCTTTACAGAGGATAATGTGCCTTCCAGAAGTCATGGTTGCCAAATAAAAATCCCAGTGTCAGTGTGAGATATCTCCTCTTGAGTCGGGGGTGTCAAGAAGACTCCCCAAAATAGGCTATTACAATTGTTCTTGATTTCCCACCAGAACCTGATGGTAGACGCTATCGCTAAGGATACACATACTTGAGTCACAAGACCTGGAGAAACCAAGCTGGCTAGTACTAACTGGAAAGTTTCCTCCCTGTTGCTAGCTTTTATAAGGCTGGAAAGTGCTGTGTAGGCTGCTGGGAAAAACAAAAACAAAAAAACTCACCAACACCTTTATCAATCTGTGAACCTCATGATGCAGTTAACAACTGGCCTGACAAGTTATGTGTATGGTGGTTAATACAGACTCAACTGGTCAAAGTGTCAAGTATCTGTAGAAAACTCAGCCATAAAAGGACATCTATGTTACACGCTGCCCCAAGGCTCAGGGAACATAACAGAAAGGGGATGAGGGATAGAATGATTATAAGAGGGCCGGGCAGTGGTGGCACACGCCTTTAATCCCAGCACTCAGGAGGTAGAGACAGGTGGATCTCTGTGAGTTCGAGGCCAGCCTGGTCTCCAGAGCGAGTGCCAGGATGGGCTCCAAAGCTACACAGAGAAACCCTGTCTCGAGGGGAAAAAAAAAAAAGAGTTGGTGTTGCTGGGGGCTGGGACGGGAGGGGGGAGGGAGGCTTCTTTCTTTAGGGGTGTGGTTCCTGGTAGGTTAACCACCCTCCTTCCAGTCAACAGCTGCACACTCATCTGTCAATGGGCAGCACAAATTAGACTCTGGGTTCAAAATATGGCTACGAAATTGGGAGGGGGATGGAAGAGTGGAAGGTGGAATGGATGCATCATAATTAGGGGTTAATGTGATCAAAATACACCACACACATGCACAAAATTCTCAAAACATTAGTAAAGAGTTATATTAAATCAAAAGAAGTAAGAACCTTGGGTTCTTTTGGAAATGGTTATACAACTGCTTTTGGAGCCCATGAGTTGTCAGAGTACTTTATTTATTTATTTATTTATTTATTTATTTATTTATTTATTTATTTGGTTTTTTTAGACAGGGTTTCTCTGTAGCTTTGGAGCCTGTCCTAGAACTCGCTCTGTAGATCAGGCTGGCCTCGAATTCAAAGATCCGCCTGCCTCTGCCTCCCGAGTGCTGGGATTAAAGGCATGAGCTACCAACGCCCGACAATGTACTTTCATTTTATTATCTTGTGCTTTTAATGTGGAACAATGTCATTCAAACATGACTGCTGCAGCCCCTCAAAATCTGCTACATTTCTATTACTTAATATTTATAATATACTTATCTTTTGTTGTTCTGAAAGGTATTGTCAGTACTTAGCAATAATTATATTGTTTTATATACATAATCATAGATAAGCTACATACTCATATAAAATGAGCAAGTTGATAACAGTCTTTAACTGTAAACATAAGTGTTATGCAAAGATTTTAGCACATCTTTAAATTGAGTTTTCTAAATAAAATGAATCTATTAGAGGGATTACTTTTTTCTCAACCATGCATAAAAGTAGCTTATTTGCTATCGCTTTTCCTACTCGCCTTATATTCTTCTACTTTGTCTTCATCTGTATCTCCTTCATCCAGGCACTTCCGTTTTGAATTTGGAGCAGCTGTATCATAGGAAGCCCTGAGAAAAAAACTGCAACTGTCACACAAGAAAATACAAAAGATGCATATGGATCTGCTTATAATATTATTAACAAGTTATAGGAACAAAGTCCTGATTAAGTATCTATTTATTCAGCTTATAAATCATCCAAAATGCCATAGGCAATAATTTGCAGCTTATTTTTATAAAAAGGCAACCAAGTGAAAAAAATAAGTAAAGACTGTATTATGAAAAGATACTTTTAAACTATGTGTCTTTTCTACTAATGTATATTTTATACTATCAACTGTCATCAAACTGATAAATACCACTTTTAAATTATATTTTTATAATTTCATAAAAACTGTGATTTGTAATTTAACATTATGTAAGCTAATTCTTAGTGTAAAATTTCACTTCTACCTACTTTATAAATGGGAACTTAATGTTTTCAGAAAGCAAAAATTTCATAATTTCAAACTGACATTAAAAACTGTTTCCAAAATCTCCATTTTCACAATTTTCCTAGCAACAAATTCATACCTACAATTAACTTCATTAAAAAACCAACAGTTAATAGCTGATTCCAGTTCTCATGAGGCTCAGGCAGAGGTGCTGCTAGGTCAGCCTGGGGGACACGGCATGACTATGTCTCACTCCCCCTAAATAACGACCATGCATAAATCACAACTAGAAAATCAGACAAATGATCCTTTCTCACCATAAACATGCCACTGTTCAACATACCTGCAATTTTCTCGTGTTTCAGCAATTTCCCTCTGCTCATCTTTGCTATTTAACACAGCACCAATGCTATCGGCACTTTCAGCTCCCAACTAGGAAGCAAAAGCCCAGAGTTAGATCAGAACGCACTGCTTATACACCGCAGAATGTGTTGATAATTTTAATACGCCAAATATTTTATAAAAGCAACACCTCCCATAACACACTATCAATAGGCTTGCAAGATAAAATGGAAGTGAACTGGAAGATTCTTTTAATTAAGAATGACTTTGTCTGCTGGAAAATATTTTACGAATTTGGTTATATTTAAAATTAAGATGACTACTTTTAGCCTATTTTGGATAAAACACAATTTAACAATAGTAGCAATAACCAAAAATGGCAAGGCACTTCATATGGACTACTTCATAAACCATCCCATGCTCTCACAAGAATTTATTCCAGTTTATTATAGAAAAGTATTTATTTTTTAATTTTTTTTTTTTTTTTTTTTTGGTTTTTCAAGACAGGGTTTCTTTGGGGCTTTGGAGGCTTTCCTGGGACTAGCTCTTGTAGGCCAGGCTGGTCTCGAACTCACAGAGATCCACCTGCCTCTGCCTCCCAAGTGCTCAGATTAAAGGCATGCGCCACCAACGACGGCTTATAGAAAATTTCTTAATAAAGCTTACTAATAGCTTAAAAAACGGTAATGTCAACTTTGGGTGGCCACTGGGGAAATTCTGCAGAGTGCAACAAATGTAAACAAAGGCTAAACTGAATAAAGCCAATTCACAGAAAACTTTCCAAGTGAGACCATAGAAGAGCATGAGGAACTCTCTTTGGTATTAAGCATAAGAACTTATGAAAACATCTGCGGTCCCTTTAGCTCCAGAGAAAGAAGGCAAACAAAAAAGGCAGTGTTGAAAACTGGCATCTTTGACTTTAAACAACAAAATTTTCTCTTAATCTACCATTTCATATGACTGCCCTCATTTCTTCAACAAAAAAATCTCATATATATATA